AGTTAGCTTTAAAACCTCATTGCTAGGTATTCCCTCATAACCTTGAACTCTACTAAGAGCTTTCAGGTACCATTTGAGCATATGGCCTTTCAGAGGGCAGTCGACTAAAAGGGTGTGTTCCATGACGACCAAGCACCCAACCAGATAAATGCCAACTTGGCAGGAGAAACCTACTGCACATGTCCTGTGATGACCGAATAGCTAATAGCACAATAGAAAGATGTCCTCTTAGAGGCCAGTTGCATGTGTCTACTGATTTGCATAATCTCTCCTGAAAATGTTGAAGAAATATGAGCTCTTCCTTACACTCTTAGCTTCACCTAGAAATAACTCCTCAGAATGTTTTCTTACTGAGACAGATAAAGAAGCTGATACCCCCATCTCTTATATAGTAGCCTAAATAATAAAAATTCTACTTTTTTTCTCCACTTAAAAACAAAACAAAACAAAGAACAACAAACAAAACTCCCTCATTGCTGTTAACTCGGAACCAACTCATATCTGACCCTCCTGAGTTTTTTCCAGAGGCTGAAAATTTCTTGGGAGAAGATTGCCCATCTTTACCCCGGGGAGCAGATGGTGAATTCAAATAGACCAGATTTGAATTGGCAGCACAACTGCACGCCCACTAGGCCACCAGAAAGCCCTAGTGTAGTTTGTTGTTGCCGTTGTGTACCCTTTAGTTGGAACTGACACCCTCTAGCAAACTTTCAGAGGCACTAAATTGCATAGGAGGAGATGACTCATCTTTCTCCAGTGGAGCAGCTGGTGGATTTGAACCATGCACATTGGCATTGACAACACAATTCCTTACCACCAAGCCAATAGAACTCCCTAGTTTATTTAAATAAGCTAAAGTCTCGTTGTAAAAGCTTAGCTCATGAAACTTAGTTTAAATACAAATTTGGACTAAAGAAGTTTAGCTAAAGCTTAACTAAATTCAGTTTAGTTAGTTTAAATAAACTAAATTTAGTTTGTTGTGTTAAGTGCCATCGAGTTGAGTACAACCCATAGTAACCCTGTAAACAATTTTATCATCTTTGCTTCCAAGGAGCACTCTGGCTGCAAATTTCAAAAGTGGCTGCACTTTTGAAATTGAATTTAGTTCACCAATTTCACATATGTTATAAACTCTATAATACTGTGTCATTTTGTTTAAACAGTCACTCATATTTTAAAGCATATTTAATTGAAAGGGGAAAAAATCAAATCTGTTTGTCCACCTAGCTTACTTCATTCTTTTCTCCCAGATTCCCATCCGGTGTACTTGTCCTGTATGAAACATTCAATCTTTAACATCTTGCTCTTGGTGCAGATCTGCTTGCAATGAATTCTCTCAGTCCTTGAGTGTCTGAAAACATCTTGAATTCACTTTCATTTTTTTTAATGGACAGTTTCAGCACGTACAGATGTCTAGCTTTTCTTTCAGAGATGCTGTCCTGTTATCACTTGTGTTGTTTCTGACATGAAATTTGCCATCTTTTCTTTGTTTCTCTCTACCAGAAAAAAAATGTCCTTTTTCTCTGGCTGCTTTTAAGATTTTCTTTTTATCTCAGGCTCAGGGAAATTTTATTATGTCAGCCCCAGTGTCATTTCCTTCACGTTTCCTGTGGTTTGGGTTCATGAAGCTTTTTAAGTCTGTGGTGTGATTTATTATATTTTTTCAATGCAGGTTAATAGTTGGTATCAAATCTGAAACAGTCTGTCCAAATTTTTCTGTTGTAGTCTTTGGGTTATGGAAATGACACAGAAATCATTTTCTGTCATAGTCCTTCCCTCTTCTCCACCAGGGACCAACAACAGTTCATGTGCTAGGCTACTGAGAGCCTCTTTTCTTTTTCTCTTCTTTTAACCCTGCGTGACATTTTGGATAGTTCCTGTAGCCCTGTTTTTGAGTTCACAAACCATTCTTCCCACAATGGCTTATCTGCTGTCGATCCCATCCCGCGTTATTTTTATCTCAGATAGTGTTGCTTTCCTCTCTAGACACTCTGCTTGGTTCCTTTTCTGTCTTGCGGGTCTAACTCTTGAGTGTGTGGAAATGCAATTACACTCATCCCTTCCTGCTTACTCTAACATCTGTGTATGTTCTGAATCTGTTTCAATGGACTTACTCCTTTCCCTCATTATAGGTTAATACTTTCCTCCATTCCTCACATGCCTGGCCATCTTTAATTGGGTGCCAGACATTGTAAATCCTACCTTGTTGGGTAGTAGGTATTTTTGCATTCTTGTAAATATTTCTGAGCTTTGTTCTGGGGCACAGCCCAGTTACTTGGAGATAGCCTGATCCTTTCAGGTCTTATTTTTATGGTAAATGAGGCAGGTCTGGAGGAGTGCCCAGCCTAGGATTAATTATTCCCTGTTATGTTTCCCTGTATGTGCTTTAACTGGTGCCCCCTGAATTCAGAACTTCCCTGGGCTGACTGGTGGGCAGGAACACTGTACCCAGTTTGTGTGTGCCCCAGTTCCTACTTCCTTCAGTCCTAGCTAAAGGATCGATCTCTGGTCTCCTGTGGTTCCCTCACTCACTGCCCTGATCTGTGCTCTGCTTACTACATGTTGTTATGTGCCATTGAGTCAACTATTATTATTTAATAATAATCCTATGAAAAATAAACTGGAGTTGTATCTAGCTCCATTTTCACAATCTCTGCCACACTCAGGGCCTTTGCTGTAGTCATTGTGTCAATACATCTCTTTGATAGTTTCCTTCTCTTTTGCTGAACCTCCATCTGTCCCAACATGATGTCTTTTTCTAAGGACTGGCCACTCACAACAATATATCCTAAGTGTATGAGGGCAAGTTTCACCATCCTTGCCTCTAAGGAGCCCCTTGGTAAGGACAGACTTGTTTGTTCTTCTGACAGTCCATGGAATAGTCAATAGTCTTCACCAACTCTGCAATTCAAGCATTCAGTTAATTCACCATCAATTCTCTTCTGTTATTCCTCAATCATTGTCCAACTTTCTGATGCATATTAAACAATTGAAAATACTATGACTTGGATCAAGTTCACCGTACTCTTTAAATTGACATCCTTGCTCTTTAGAGCTTTAAAGATGTCCTTGACAGCAGGTTTTCCCAATGTAATGTGTCTTTTAATTTCTTGACTGCTGTTTCCATGAATGTTGATTGTATATCCAAGTGAAATGAAATCCTTGACAACTTCAGTCTTTTTCCACCTATCAAGATGTTGCCTGTTGGTCTGGTAGTGAGGAGTTTTGTTTTCTTGATGTTAGGATGTAATCTATATTGAAGGATGTAGTCTGATCTTCTTCAGCATGTGCTTCAAGTCTTTGAATAGATATGTTATTGTTACATACCAAGCTGGAGCTCACTGTGCAGTGAGTTTTCAGAAGCACTAAATCTCACAGAAGGAAATTTCCCATCATTCTCCCATGGAGCAGCTGGTGGATTCAAATCACTTAACCTTTATGTTAGCACTGCCATTCCTTACCTCTAAGCTACATATGAGGGAGTTCTAATGGCCTAGTGGTGAGAAGCTGTGCTACAATCCCAAAGGCATGTGGTTCAAGTCCACCAGATGCTCTGGGAAGATGGGCAATCTCCTCCCATACTATTTACTGCCTCTGTTGTGATTCAATGGCACACAACAACAACAACAAGCCACCTATTAGGGGACTCTGGGGCCTAGTGGTAAGAAGCTGTGCTGCAATCCCAAAGGCATACTGTTGTTGTGGTTGTTTGACACGGGAGGGTAAGTCAGTCACAGCTTTTCCATCCTGACCAGAGGCGAAAGTTGATGAAACCACAGCCAGTTTTTCGTACCATCTGCTGACTTCTCGGTTGGCAGTCAAGTGCTTAACGACTGTGCCACCAGGACTCTCTTTTCACACTGTATATGGAATCTTTTCTTTCCAAGTCAAAGGTGTTCTAGCATCTGCCCAGTGTGTCTCCTTTTCTAGACAGAGTGATAGAGGAGGCTTGGCGATGCTGTCCTTCACTGACAATGGCTATGGTGACCTCTCCTTTCCCACTGGCCCCTGACTCTCACAGAGTCTATATGGCTCCGTCAGGCTCTGAGGTTGGAGGGCCCAGGGCCCCACCAATCACCATCAGAAGCAGCCCCTGGAATTTCTCTGCTGTCGGCCTCAGTGGGAGCTCTTCTGGGCTCTGTTGTTTGGTCTGGGTGTCTTGAGTTTCCAACTGCACTCCACTTCTCTGTGTGTCTGGAAATGCCCCAAAGCTTGGCATCAACTCTCTGGTCTCAGGACCAGAACCTCCCTCCTCCTCCTTCCCCTTATGGGAATAGCTGTCCTATCCCTCTCTTGGTGCCCAAGTGCCCCTCATGCCACCCTGCATGTCTTTTCATTAGGTCCTCTGAACATGGCCACTTGCCCATGGGCTGGGAACCTAGCACCTCCATGGCCAGCAGTCACTGCTGCCACCTTCCTAACTCTTAGGGACAATGACAGTGGCGTCCATGCCTCAGGAGGCTGTCAAGCTGCAGGGGCAGAAGTGACCAGGTTGGGTCCTGCCCCTGATAAGCAGACTCTGGAGGGATGTGGGGGTCCACTCAGTAGCGTTTCCTGTGCGTAGATGGCACACCTGGGACAGCTCAGTGGGACACAGCTCTTCAAAAAGGTCAAGATGGGAGATGGGTAAGAAGTGACAATATCACCAGGCTGAGTTGCACTGTGACCAACTTGATGCCATGAGTGGTAAGATCTGCCAGCTCAGGTTGGTCAGGGGAGAGACTGGCAGTCAATGCAGTTGATGGGCGGGACAGAAGACAGCACTGGGGTCTGAAACTCAGAACTGGGGAGCTGGGGAACGAGGACCAGGTGAAAGCCCTTCCCAGTGACTGTTGAGAGCAACTGACCATTGAGGCTGAGCCCGGGGCCAGGGTCTGTGAAACTTCCAAGTCTCCACCCTGGGCCAGCCTGGGCTTCTAGGGTGAGGGGTCAGAGCCGCCACGCCTGCTGTCCCCCCTCGGCCTGGCCCAAGCGGGTTGTTCTCTCTCTCTCTTGGGAAGGTGAGGCAGGCCGCGTCCTGAGCGTGTCCGCGGCCGTCCGGTACGTGCAGCTCCCGGCCTACTCCAAGCTCAGCTTCTTCAGGGTGGACACACAGGACAGAGAGACGCCCATCGCGACGCCATTGTGAGTGGTCACGGGGGTGGCAGGGGGAGCATGTGGGCCCCCTTTGAACAGAAAGGAAGAACGACCCAGAAGGCTGCTCTCCCCGGGCCTTCCCTCTCCCACGTGGCCGCGTGACTCACCTTGGCAGCAAAGTGAGAGTGGGTGGCGCGTGTCCCCTCCCCGTGTGTGACTCGCCATGGCCGGTATCCTGCCCTGACCCTCGGGAAGCACGTGTTCAGGTGGAGCTGCCCAGCCGAGGCCCCAGCAACTCCAGCGGCCAGGCGCCTGCCCCCTCCACCTCCTCCGCCCCCTCCACGTCCCCAGCCGCTGCCTCTCGCCCCCTGCTTTTCCATGTTCCCTCCCCTTCTGCCTCCCTCCCTGCCTCCTCCTCTCTTCCACTTCCCCCTACTTTTCCATGCTCCCTGCCTTCCTCCCTCCCCCTCCCTTGTTTCTTTGCCGCCCCCTCCCTTCCTTTTTTCCCAGAGAAGCCTTTTTTTTTTCATCATTTTCCACAGAATTTAGGAGAGGTTTTAGAAATGCTTTTACAGCGCATCTGTCTTCACCATCTAGTTGTTTCTGTCAAGCATGCGCTGGTCACCTCACCTAAATGGGGGACCTAGAGCTGGATTTGGTCCTCCTGCCCTGTCCTCAGTCCTGCCCTCAGCCTCTCTGGCCACCAGCATCGGCGGCGTGCGGCCAGCATACTGCTTCCTGATGATTGCATGGGGAAGTCCTTAGAACGATCTGGAAGTTCTTCTCAAGTTCAATTTCTTCCTCAGCTGAGTTCATTTTGGACTCATTTAATGGAGCCCAAACCAGTTATCCTGTATGTGTAAGACTCAGATAAAACCAGCTCCATCAGATGTTCAAGGACTGTGGCTTTTTAGATGAACATTGCCAGGTCTTTCTTCCAAGGTGCTTCTGTGTGGGCTCAAACCTCCAAACTTTTCTCTAACAGCTGAGCGCACTGACAGTCGGCACCACTAAGGGACCCCTGGGCCCGCTAAGAGCGCTTCCTCCTTCATCCGAAGCAACAGACTGTCTGGGTTGTGATTCCTAGGATAGCTGATGCTGGTTCTGAGGAAACGCTTCAGAATCTTGACCCTTGGCCAGCTCTCAACTTCCAGACTGGAGCCCAGTCAGAGGCAGAAGGCAGGGCCTGGGCCACAGGTCACCTGAGAGAAGCCAGGCTCCACCCTCTACCCTTTGACCTTTATTTCTAACCCTCAAGGCTGAATCAGCAATTGCTCTTAACAGTGGCACAGCCAGTGTGATGCTGGAGCTCTGAGCCCTCTGTGCAGTACAAGGCCCTGTCCATGGCCTGTTCAGAGCTCAGCCCTGCTGGCCATTGGACACGCATAGTGGGTTTCAGAATTAATGACAGCAACAGTACTTTTTAGCAGTTCTTTGTATACCCACTGTGAACCCTTCTCTCTTCCTGGGTCTCAGGGTGATGGCCGTGGGGTGTCTTTGCTAGATAGTGCACGTCCCAAAGTCACATGACCCCAGAAAAGTCAGAGTGGCCACTTCACCCTGACATGTTGGGGTGTCAGCCCCCGGGCCACTATCCCTCCACCCATATGGGATTCCAGGATGGGTAGAGACCAGCTCCTGTTTCTCTTCACAGTGGATTTGAGTGCATCTCCTACCCTCTGTCAAGGCCTGGATCTGGAGGGCCAGAGCTCAGGACAGCAGTGGACGGGGCTGGAGCTGACTCGCCACTCCCCACAGCTGCCGTGGAGCCAGCATCAGCGTGGGGTGCCCTGCAGGGCAGAGGAGACAGCCCCTACGACCCACCGGGTGAGTGGACGTGGTGGCTCATGGAGGCTAGGCTCGGACATAGGTGGGCAGCAAGGGCCCCAGACCTGGATAGAGAAAAAACAAAGCTGTCCCCTGAGAGCCAGGCTCTGCACTCAGGGTCTGGGAAGATGGAAAGTACCTGAACGAGCAAGTGTGACAGAAAGCAAGTAAGCGGGCCTTGGTTAAAGAGCAGGTGAAGGTTGTGTGGCGCAATGGTTAAACACTCGGCTGCTAACTGAGAGGTCAGTGGTTCAAACCCACCAGTCTCTACTGCTTATGGAAGCTGTCTGTTTGCATAGAAGTACAGCTCTTTGCATAAAACTCTATTGCCCTGTGGGCAGTTCCACTCTGTGCAATAGGGGTCCTGAGTCAGAACTGATTAGATGCTACTGAGTTTGGGATTTTTGGTTTGGGGGCTGTGTTGGTGTCCAGGGACGTGAAGCGCACTGAGGTCTGTGTGGGGCCATGCAGGGTCCTGGGAGTGTTGGGTGTGTTTCCATGAGTGACCATGTGAAGTCGGTTGGTGCTTTGTCCACTCTGAGAATCTCAGGTCCTTTGCAACTCGGTCAGGCTGTAGCCACGTCTAGACAGCAGCAAGCCCAGCAAGGTCACTGTCACTCCTGCAGCCTGTGGTCAGCCTGAGCACAAACACCCTGGCTCCACCATCTTCTGACCCTCCAGGTGCTCTGCCTGGTCACATACGTGTGGCACAGATTCTAGATTATTCCATCTGAACACAGCCTCCGCCCATCAGCTCCAAGCACGTGGAGGGCCAGTCCTCAGTGGGGTCCGGTCAGCAGTTCCTCTGGTGGACTCAGCGCTGGGCCCGGCTTCTCTATAAGGCACAAGCCTCTCCTTACCCTGACTGTTCCAGTACTGCCACGTGAGCCAGGCGCTGAGACTCAGGAGTTGAATCAGAGTTTAATCACTGCCATTATTGTGCTCGGGGATATGAAATGCTCCCTTTGTAAATACGTGGTTGGCATCTTAATGTGAGGAACAACCTTGATGAGCAATTAAGGTGGCAGAGGCATCAGTACCCTGCGTCACTCCACGGTGAGGAGCTCCAGGGAAGATGGAGTTCACAGGTGGGTCCCTGCAGTCGGCTTTGGGCACCCCAGGAGGTCACATCTGATCCTCCCAGAAAGGACAAGGGGTTTACGATGTCATGACCAGAAGCTGGCCAGTTCCCCCCAGGATGTGTTTCAGGGCATGGCGTCCTCCACAGCTGACTGGAACAGATTCGGTGATGACAGCCGGCCGTGCGCTGCCCTCTGCCGCACAGAGTGACCCTGGCTGAGGTGCAGGTGGGGTCAGGGGCTGCAGGGCTCCTGGGATGGGCTGTGCTGAGTTACTGTCCATGTGACGTCCGGACAGGACTGAGGGGGTGGCTGATCTTTGAGGGAGAAATGCCATGCACATGCTCCTACGTCATCAGGAGCACGCTCACGGGACAGTGCTTCCCCGGTCCCCTGAGTGGTCCACTGCACCTGCTCCCAGGACACCAGGGTCCTGCTAGGGCTCCAGGCGAACCCTAAAGTCCCCACAAGTGACTTTATAAGCACAGTACAGCCAGTGCACTCTAAGACCCAGGAGTGACCCCTTCTTTCCTCTTCCAGGCCCACATCTCCCCTGTGGCCCCTCCATGGAGCTGGGCAGCCCCTGGGAACTCAGCTCTTCTCCGCACTCCCACCTCTGCCTCTCCTGGCTCTTTATCTCTAGGGGAGGGGTCCCTGGGACTGCCATAGGGCAGAGCAAGGACTCCTGGGAGGACCACACTTCTCCCTCAGATGGCCCAGCTCTTACTAAGCCCAGGGCCCCTAGGCTGTCTCCCTCAACCTTGGGCCACCCCCTTGGGCCACATGCTCTCACAGTGGCAGTGTCTACCTGTCCACATGTGATGCCCTCTTGGCCCCCTATTGGCCATGTCCACCGTCTGGTAGTTTGCCTGAGGTCAAGGTCTCTGAGAGACAAAGTTTGTTGCTTGGTGCACAGTGTTTTCTCAGCCCTCAGGGGGACCAAAGAAATGGACGATTGTGGGTTCATACTCTACCCTAGACTCACGACCAGACTGTGAGGCCAGCGTGGGGTCAGCAGGGATGGGAGGGTCAGTGGGGAGCGTGGGGTATGTGGGGCACGACAGAGTCATCAGGGCAGGATGGGGTCAGTGGGGCCAGACAGGGTCAGCGAAGCCGGACAGGGTCAGCAGGGCAGGGCTGGGTCAGCAGGACGAGACATGTATGACTACCATGTTATCCTTGAGGTGGCGTCCTCATTCTCACAACTGAAGTTGGAGAGAGCAGAACCCGATGCAGGCCCCCTGCCCAGAGCCCGCCTCTGGAGGATGACTCTGCAGATGACAGTCATAGAATGACAGCAATGGCCAAACTGTGAACTCTTCTCCTCAAAGGTCAGACATGCCCGGTCTCTAGAGGGGACGAGAGGTGGTACCGTGGTCTCTCCTTGTGGGGGCTGCAGGTCCAGCCACAGCCAGGACCTCTCAGCTTCACTGGAGTCAGGCAGTCATCGGGGGCTGGGCTCAGGTCTGAAGGAAGCACCATTGGCCAAGACCCACACACCCTCTTGCCACTTTCCCTGCAGGTTAGAGAAGGAAGGGCTGTTCTGTGGTGTCAGCAGAGGAGAGCATGAATCTCCAGGTGGAATACCTGTGGGTATCAGGGCCTCTTGTTTGGGGAGGCTTCCAGGCCGAATAGCTCGAGTTTCGACTGAGGTCATCCCCAGGTGCCAGGTGTTTTAGTTGCCCTCCCTGCCCTCTGACCTGGGGTCAACCTCCAGACCTCCCCACAGGGTGGCTTGGGTCACCCTCTACTGGGTTAGCACCTCCTTGGGCCATAACACAGGGCTCAAGTGCACAAACCTTTTCTAAGGCTCTCCTGCCTCAGCTTTGAGGACACACCAGAGTCACTTCAGGGTGGTTTTGAGGGACATGCTTGTACATGAACAGCTCCGAGTGAACCTTGATGTTCTGCAGCTGGTGCCCAGCTCCACAGGCCCCCAGCAGCCTTCCTGGTGCTTCCACACCTCTGGCCCAGCCAGGGGGACCTGCCATACTGGGGGCCCTGCCCAGCTGTAAGAGGTGGGGTGCTGGCCCTTGTTCTCATGAGACAGGACTGGATCAGCTGACCCCTTCTGGAAAGTATTCCATGGAACTGTCTGCCCATCTCACAGCCCATGCATCTGCTGGGCTGGACTCAGACGTGACCAAGTGGGTCTCTTTTCAGGCAGTGACCACTAGGTGACAAGTTCTGGGGCCATGGCAGCCCAAGGTTCCTCCACCGAGCAGGATTGGTCTCTACTCCCTTAGGAGGAGGAGTTGCCATAGCAACTGGATCATTAGCGCCCTGAGACACCAAGCTGGGTACCCTTGACATACTCTTGAGAAGTAACAATGAAGTAACAACCTCCCGAAGGCGCTTTGTGTGAGCTGTGAGGCAGAGCTCCTACCGCTGTGGCACACAGCCCAGGCCTGCAGGACTGTGGGGCTGGAGGACTCAAAGGGGACACAAGAGGGGTGGGCTCTTTTCTTCTTTTTTCCAGTTTCCATCTTTTCTTCTTTCACCGTGTCTGCAGTTACACAAACACCACCAGTTTATAGAACTTGCATTTACTGATGCCCAGAATGGAGGCTAACAGTCCAAATTAGGCCTTGTCTTGTCACTTCCTTCCTCGTCAGGCACACCCCCCACTCCCACCTCCCTCCCCCCCCACCCCCGCCCTGGGTTCCTTGTTCCTTTGGTGATCCACACCCGTCTGTCTTCTCAGCAGTACAGTATATGCTGGTATTTTAAAAACTCCTTGTGATTAGGTTTTGGACCCACCCTGCAGGATGTGGCTCATTAACATAACAAGGAAAACCCTCCCCGCAAACAGGCTCGTGATGTGACCACCTACACTGGGGTCAGGATTCTAAACCATGTTTTGTTGATATGTCATCATCCAACCCACAACAGACCACACCACAATTTCACTTAAAACAGGTCAGCTGATTTATGGCTTTAAAACTCTGATTCATTCAAATCATTAGTCCCATTTGTCTATGTCAACTTTCAAATGAACTTCCCCACCATCTCTCATTGAAATTCTCTCCCCTACGGGGGTCCTCAGAAGGCCACTGTGAGACCAGGGACTCCTTCCCATTGTGTCTCAGCCATTACCATCTGCCACACACACACACACACACACAATCTGCTCCAGGTCAAGAACCCTCTGGTAGTTTGACTTCCTTAGGAGGGCAATGACTGTTCTGTTGTGACTAGGCTCAAATCCATCAGTAGCTCCTCAGAAGAAAGGTGGGTAACCTCCTCGCACACAATGAACAGCCTCAGAAACCCTGGGGAGTCAGCTATGAGTAGGTTCCCACTCACCAGCAGTGAGGTTTCGAGGTGTGTGCAAGACAAGGTGCCTTGTTCAATCATAACATCTTAGAAAGAGGGCAGCTACAGCCTCGTGGTCAAGAAGCCCCAGGGGGTCAGAGCAGAACTGGGAGAGGCCTCTGTGTCAGGCATGTGATCTGTTGGTCTGTGAGCTGTCACCCCACCCACTATCTGAAGTATGACAGGAGCCAGGAAGAAGACTCCAACTGCTCCCATGGCTCCACCTGGCTACAAGGACGTCTAGGTATGCAGATCTGGGCCTGGACAGACCATGTCCGATAGTGCCTGGAGACCCTGGGACTGAGTAAACGAGGCAGTGCCCAAGGGGATCCTGCAGTGAGAGCCCCTGGGAGCTAAAGTAAGCCGTTCCTCCCTCCCCTCTTCTTTCTCCTACTGCTGCTAATACTACTATTTCTTATCCCACTGTATCATCTTCCCGTTTCTGCAAGCAGGATTGTGTCATCTGCATAACACAAGTTGTCAATGAGTCTTCCTCTAATCCTGATGCCACATTTTCCTTCACATAATCCATCTTCATGAACCATTTTGGGCTCAGCCTATTGTATTCAATCTATAGATTAAATAGGTATGAAGAAAGGATAGAAG